TATTGGGCTTTAGGAGAAAGAGAGAGGAGAGGTTGGGCGCCCCCCAAGGCCTAGTCCGAATTGGACTAGGGGGAGGGGCTGCATCCCCTCCTTCCTTCTCTTCTCTCTTCCCTTGCCTTGACTCCTACTCCAACTACTTGGAAGAGGGGGAATCCTACTCCCGGTGGGAGTAGGACTCCTCCAGGGTGTGCCATAGGGGCCGGCCCTCTCCCCCCTCCTCCACTCCTTTATATACGTGGTCAGGGGCACCCCATAGACACAACAATTGATCTCTTGATCTCTTAGCCGTGTGCGGTGCCCCTCTCCACCATAATCCACCTTGGTCATATCGTAGCGGTGCTTAGGCGAAGCCCTGCATCGGTAGAACATCATCATCATCACCACGCCGTCGTGCTGATGAAACTCTTCCTCAACACTCGGATGGATTGGAGTTCGAGGGACGTCATCGAGTTGAACGTGTGCAGAACACGGAGGTGCCATGCGTTCGGTACTTGATCGGTCGGATCGTGAAGGCGTACGACTACATCAACCGCGTTGTGCTAACGCTTCCGCTTTCGGTCTATGAGGGTACGTGGACAACACTCTCCCCTCTCGTTGCTATGCATCACCATGATCTTGCGTGTGCGTAGGAATTTTTTGAAATTACTACGTTACCCAACAGCACAAGACAAGACGAAGAACTCGCCTCGCAAGCCAAAGACCATGAGTTGTGCGGAGGCCAAACATAAGCCCTGACGTTGGAGGCTAGTTCTGGGGCTAGTGAGGGAGTCCTGAATTAAGGGGTCGTCGGATTGTCGACCTACTGTATATGGGCTAGACTGATGGGCCACTATGGAGCCGAGCTAGAGTGCGGATTCGTGGCCGGATAGGAAATCTTCGGAGTCATGGAGTGCCCTCCAAGCTAAGTTTAGGCAGGATTTTTCCTTCCCTGTAACTGATCGCCTGTAACCGTAACCCTATTAGTGTCTATATAACCCATGTGGTTTTAGTCTTTAGGGCTAGAGCAACATCCATTACTCCATCAACCTAGGGTTTAGCTCGCCCGATCTCAAGGTAGATCAACTCTGTAACCATATCATACACATTAAATACAATTAAGCAGGACGTAGGGTTTTACCTCTTCGAGAGGGCTCGAACATGCGTAAACACCGAGTTCATCGTCCCTGTTCCCCATTGATCCTAGATCCACAGCTCGGGACCCCCTAC